ATGCTTCCCTTGACCAGCACCAGACATAATAGCCCCTGCAATGGGCCTCACATAGAGGCAGTGAAAGGCCCTCTGCCGCTCTTCTCTTCCCACAGGTCTCCAGGGGTTGCTTGGCAACCAGCACCCAGCAGTAAGTGGCCTCTAGTCAGGTTTGTTGCTGTGGAGCCTCCAAGTCTCCCTCCCTTCACACCTGTTCCTGCTCTCATTCGCTATTAATAAGACTTCTCTCCCCAGTATATTTCTCTCCTCTGATCCACAATAATTAACCTCCCAGGATACACAGGGGGCTCTCAGGACCCTATGTGGGGAGGGACCCCAGAGAACAAGGCACTACCAATGGCTTCATCATCCAATATCCCCCAGATATGATAGAAACTCCTTTTGTGAATGGTCCTGCTCAACAACGCTCATACCTTCTCTTTGTCCCTCTCCACCTTCCACCCTGACAATGGCTTTCTGAAATCCCCTGGGTGAGATCAAATGGGCTGGAGAAACTTAGAGGAATGCTTCATGCTGTGCTAGTGAGTCCCTGAATACTGTTCCAGCACTCCTAGAACCACGTCCGGGGAAATCTTGGGAGGGGCCCTGTCACTCTTTGCATGTGGATCAAGAGCAGAGAAAGAAAGGGACCTAAATTTTATTGTGTTCCTAATACTGTTACCACACTTAGATCCCCCAACAAGCCTGTCAGGCTTTTATCGCTGAAGATGTTATCTAATCACAGAAGTGAAGTAACTTACCAAAGCTCACACTGCTTAAAAAAAAAAATTATAGAAATTTTGCTTACGAAAGTAAATATATATAAGTAGATATGTATTTATTCCTCTCCCTATCCAATTAATTAATCATCAAATTCCGTAAATTCTAGTCCCAAATCTCTATCCTCATTTCCAACTCCTATGTCATTTTTATCTTAGTGTTATGTACCAAATGTTTGTATCCTCCCAAAATTCACATATTAAAGCCCTGACCCTCAGTGTGGCTATATTTGGAGATAGGTACTCTAAGGAAGTAATTAAGGTTAATTGAGGTCATAAAATTAGGGCCCTGATCTAATAGGATTAGTGTCCTTATAAGAAGAGCTCCCTCACTCTCTCCATGTGTACACACCAAGGAAAGGCCACGTGAGCACACAGCAAGAAGGCAGCTGTCCTCTTGCCAGACATCAGCCCTGCTGGCACCGTGATGTTGGACTTCCAGTCTCCAGAACTGTGAGAAAACAAATTTCTGTTGTTTAAGCCATCTAGTCTGTGTTGTTTTGTTATGGCAGCCCAATGAAGCTAATAGACTTAGCTCAACCCCTTATAATTTACCCAAACTACTAGCTTCTTTGCTTCCCTCCCATCTACCCTCCAAACTGAAACCAGAGATTTTTCTAAAATGCAAATCTAACCTTGTTAAAACCCATCTATGGCTTTTCAATGCCTATGGTAATTGTCTCCAAATTTATACCCCTATTAAGTAAGAAAAATGTAGGCCTAGCACCCACAGTATTTGTATATTTACTTAAATTACATATATATATATATACTTCTACTGTACACAAAAGATGTTAAAATACATACAATGGCATAAATACTATTTAAATGTTTAAACTTTAGTGTATTTATGAACAGTTCAGAAAACTTTTTTACAGAAAAGCACATATGCATACACACACCAAGAAAACCCTTTCCTGGGACAGACCCAAAGACTGAGAAACAGCAATCAGGCTATCAATCCCCAGAAGGAAAGTAGGGGAGGGCGGGGGTAAGGGGAAGAGATCAACCGAAGGACTTGTATACATGTATATAAGCCATACCAATGGACATGGACAACAGGGGGATGGGAACATGAGTTTGTGGGGGGGGGGGAGGTTGGGGGTTAATGGGGGGGATGAGGACACATTTGTAATACCTTAACTAATAATAAAAAAAAAGAAGAAAAAACCCTTTCCTCATTTTTTTTTTAGCAAAAGCAATGTGATTGACTATGTCAAATCTAATTAGATCATCACTGATTTTACCTCAAAACATGGCTGACAATGAACTTGTGCTAGGAGTCAGAGAAATATCACTTCAGCCATTTTCTGTGCTCATGTGGGCTCACTATAATTAGTGCAGTCTTCAACCAGAGGTTTCTTTGCAGGACTGTTTTAAGCCACATATCCATTGTGGGTTCATTTAGTTAAAATTAGGTAGTATAATCAATAAATCCACTTAACCAGGCGCAGGAAAACGGCAAAAACTCACGATGGACTAAAACTGAATGAAGAGTGAGGGAGCCACCACTGCCAACCCCTTAGAAGGGCAGAATGACTATTGCTACCTAAAGATCTTTTGAATGTGGAATATGTGACCATCTAAAGTAGAGATCAAATGAAGACATTTTGTCAATATATATAGAAAATGTTAGTCTACATTTACTTTCTCTTCATAGACAAAGTAAACTCTAACAGTTTCTTCAGCTCCCTAAGGAGTCATCAAGCATTTACTCTCTGACCCATGGCAAGAACCTTCTGTTTGTTGTGCCATCTGATAGCCTCTCCAGGAAAGTTAACTCGGCACCCCATCCCTGCTTTTTCAGAGCCTGCTATAGTTAAACTGTCTAGCTCACCATGCCCCAAATATCCTCTGTTCTCACACACCCCAACCTGCTGTGTGTTGGCTGCAAAGAAAATGTCAGATAACATAAGCAGAAGCACTTGGCACATAATAGGTACTTAATAAATGCTTATTGATTCTCACCATGAGGTAAATTAGATCAGTGGTTCTTCAATTTTAGCCTGCCTCAAAAACCACCTGGAAGGCTTGTTATAACACGGACTAGAGGTCCAGTGCACAAAATTCATGCACTGGAGAGAGGGTCCCTCAGCCCGGCCTGTACCCTCTCGCAGTCTGGGACTCCTCGGGGGATGTCCACCTAAGCCAGCAGTCGGACATCCCTCTCGCAGTCCAGGACCCCTTGCTCCTTACTGCCCGCCTGCTCACTGCTCCTTAGCACTGCTGTGGAGGCAGGAGAGGCTCCCACCACCGCAGCTGTGCTTGCCAGCCCTGAGCCTGGCTTCTGGCTGAGCAGCGCTCCCCCTGTGGGAGCGCACTGACCATCACGGGGCAGCTCCTGCATTGAGTGTCTGTCCCCTGGTGGTCAGTGCGCACCATAGCTACTGGTCGTTCTGGCCATTCCGCTATAACGGTTGCTTAGGCATTTATTATATAGATTATTGGGCCATACCCCAGAGTTTCAGATTCAGTGGCTCGAAAGGGGCCCGAGAATTTGCATTTCTAACAAATTCCCAGATGATGCTGACACTGTTGATCCAGAGACCCCACTTCTAAAACCAATTAACTAAATGGTCTGTAGAGCTTTTGACATTTCCAATGATTTATGATTCTTCAACGCTTTTAATAGAGACAAAATGAACAAAATAAACTTTTATCTAAAATATAGGTTCTACAAGGTCTAATGTGCTTCTCAACAGTATAGAGAAAAGAGCACATAATTTAGATTCAGAAGATCTAAGCTGGAATCCTACTTTATAGCTGTGTGGTCAACCTAAGGCAAGCTAATATTCTCTGAAACTGAATATTTTTCCTTCTATAAAATAGGAGTATATTAAAATAATACCTGCCTCTTGGGGTTAATTACAAGGTAATATTAATATATTGAAATAATTTATAAAAAGAAAAGTACTGTATATGGACTATACCAATAAGATATATGTACTATGTATTAATGTACATTTAACAAGTTGAATAATAAATAATACATTTTGAATACTTAAAATCACAAATGCTCAAAATTTCTAATCTCAATGCTAATTCATTATTGAAAAGTATATGATCTACATGTTGCTATATCATCTCAACTATATATATATATATATATATATATATATATATATATATATATATATTTTTTTTTTTTTATTAGTACCAGTGGTAAGCACCAATAATAGTAGCTGTGATGGCCAGCTAACAAGACGGTCCCCCATGATCCTCTCCTCCCAGGATTCATACCATTGTATAGTTTCCTTCTACATTGAATCAGTGACCAACAGAATACTTTAAGGCTGAGCAATAAGAGACATTGCCACTTCTCCTTTGAACTCTTGGTTCGTTCCAAGAGCTGGGGGAAGCCACCTGCCATGCCATGAAGAGATTTAAGCAGCTCTGTGGAGAGAGCCACCTGGAAATGAACTAAGGCAGTGGTTCTCAGCCTGTGGGTTGCGATCCCCTTGGGGGTTGAACGACCCTTTCACAGGGGTCGCCTAAGACCATCGGAAAACACATATATAATTACATATTGTTTTTGTGATTAATCACTATGCTTTAATTATGTTCAATTTGTAACAATGAAATTGGGGGTCACCACAACGTGAGGAACTGTATTAAAGGGTCGAAGCATTAGGAAGGTTGAGAACCACTGAACTAATGCCTTCTAACAGGCCAGTACCACATATGTAAGTGAGCCACCTTTGAAAGGGATCCTCCAGCCCCACTCAAGTCTTCTGATGATTGCAACCCAAGCTGACACCTGGCTGCAAGCTCATAACAGGCTACAAGCCAGAAACTCTTAAATGTTCAAGTCACAAAAACTGTGCGGTAATGAATTATTATTGCTGTGTTAAGCCATCAGGTTTTGAAGTGATTTGTTATGCAGTGATAGATTATGAATACAATAGCTAACATTTATTGTGCATTAACTATGTTCTAGGAACTATATAAGCACCCATAGCCCTATGATGTAGATGCTAGCTCCAAAGCCTAGATTCTGTCACTATTCATACAGGCCAGAACAAAGCCTCTTAGGATAGTTAAGCAGCAGAAGCAATGGAGCCTCCAGAGGAGAGAAAACTTGTATAAAACCAGTAAGGGGCACTCCAGGAGCAAGACCAGCAATGGCATTAGTGTCTGATGCTGTAAGACCCAGAAGTTCCAAACCGGCCCCACCCCCTAGCCCTGGTACTAGCAGACTAGTCCCCTGTCAGGCCAATCCTGCCCAAGATGCCTGGGACTCACCCAGATCTGCAGCTTCACTCGCTTCTCATTGCGGTAGACTGTCTTCACCTTGAAGTCGATGCCCACAGTGCTGACGAAGGCTGGGGTGAAGGTGTCATCAGCATAGCGGAAGAGGAAGGAGGTTTTGCCAACGCTGCTGTTGCCGATGATGAGCAGTTTAAACATGTAGTCAAAATTCTGGTCGGAGGCATCTTTGACCCCGGCTTTACTATCGGTCACTGAAGCCATCTGCAGGAGAGACCTGTGGTCACTCAGGAACACATCTCTAGTGTCACCAACCTTTTAATGGTCACTCAGCCATTCACATACTCATTCCCCACCCCAGCATCACTGAGGAAACACACACTACTCAGAATCACCCCATCACTGCACCTGTCCCAATGTTGTCTCAGGATTAGGTGGAACCCAGCTCCTCCCATTCATTCCTTCAGCAAATATTTACTGAGCACATTGCTCTGGGTCAAACCCTGTGCTGGGCATGGGGAATACAAATATGAATCAGACATGGTGTCTACCCTCTGAGTGGCCACAGATTAGAGTAAAAAAGCACATAAACTCATAGTAACAAAGTCTTGGCTAAGGAAGCCCACAAGAAGCATCTAACCGAACCTGGAGGAATGGTGGTCAAGGAGTGTCTCCTATGGGAGGCAGCTCCTGAGCTGAGTTGTGAGGTGGGGGTGGTGGGGAGAGGCAAAGCCAAAACAGCAAATACATGAACATTTAAGGAAAGACCCTATACAAGGCTATCATTCCCATTTCAAAAACTTTTATGGCTCCCCACAGCTCTGAGGGTCAAGCCCAATCTGTTCAACTCGACAAAGAACCAGAGAATAAACTCTCTAAACTTTATCTTCCCCTAAGTCTTCTCCCTACCAACCTGTGCAACTTTACACCAGATTACACACTTTACTCCAAACATGCAATATTTCATGCTTTTGTCCCATTAGATATGTATTCTTTCTTTCTGCCTAGACATTCTTCTCCTAATAAACTCCTGCTCACCCTTGTAGATCCAATGAAGTCTCCCCTACCCGTGCACGGCAGGGCATGCACTCCTGCCCTGTACTCCCAGGGCACTCTAACAGCACTTTCTACTGTTTCAGAACTGTTCACTATTCTAGCTCCTCCTTTAAACCAAACATCTGAGACTTAAAGTACTTCGTTTCTGCCTCTCTAGCTTCTAGCACAAGTCCTAGTACATGATCAGCACTAAGTAAGTGTGCCCTGAATTAATAAGAGTCACATCCTCACTCTGGAGCCCAATCTCATCATCTGGAAAACGGGGAGAACAATTTCTGCCCTGCTCTCCTCACAGAGCTGTTACAGGACTCAAATACGATAACAACGAGTAAGACCTTCATAAACTGGTAAACCCCACACAGGTGTGAACATAAGTCATTCTTATTCCAAATCCTTCAAAACATAGATCCTTTGTTTATTGATTGATTCATTCAGCAGTATTTATTACATGCCAGGGATTCCCTGGAACCCCAGCCCTCTCAGGCCTGCCACCCAACCTCCCTTTTTCTCGAACACTTGAATCTGAACTCTATAATCCAGCACTTGGTCCCACAGTCTTTGAGTGTTTAATTGCATTTTCTACATCTCACCAGCTGTAGGTACCCTGCTTCTCCCTATGTAATCTCTTTTTGTGTTCAGCATTGGGTACTTAGACATGTTGGGTGAGTAGTCAGGGGACGGTAGGAAGACAGCCCTAATGTAAGGTAATGTTCAGGTGTCACTCTCTTCAGGAATTCCTGCTAGGAGTGAGACTGGTGAATTTATCTCAGTGAGCCTCTCCAGTGAGTTGTAAGGTTAAAGCTCTGCTGAAGAAAGGTCAGACAAATACGTGGGATAATTTATTAGAAGCCCTTTAAGAATACTTCGTTAAATATGCCACCACTAGCCTGTGGTGGCCTCTGTTCTTTCCTCTCTTTTCTCCCAGCTCTCAAGCCTTTATCTGAGATCCACAGCCACATTTCCTGTATCAATCTGCTCCATGGCAAGCCTCACTAGGCAGGCATAGAACATTCCCTGGACCCCTGGCAACTGAAGCATAGCATTCGCATGGAAGAAGAAAGTGATATTGGAGGGAAGGGTGCTTAAGCTGTCTCATAGCCCTAACTTATCAGTTTTTCATGGTACAAGATGCAGAGCCTATTTTAAGAATTGGCAAAGGAATTATGCTTTTTCTAACTAAAACAAGGGAAGCAACCACAATGCCCTCACACTATCCTCTGCTCGGCTGCCAACCATCTTTATTTACAAGAGAAAATTCCAATTTTGAAAGTGTAAAAATTTAGAAAAAAAGCTTAAAAGTATAAAGAGAAATTTTTAAATGACCAGACATCCCCTCCACTCAGAAACTGCCATTGTTGCCCTAACCAGTTTGGCTCAGTGGATAGAGTGTCAGCCTGTGGACTGAAGGGTCCCAGGTTCAATTCTGGTCAAGGGCATGTACCTTGGTTGCGGGCACATCCCCAGTAAGGGGTGTGCAGGAGGCAGCTGATCGATGTTTCTAACTCTCTATCCTTCTCCCTTCTTCTCTGTAAAAAATCAATAAAGTATATATAAAAAAAAGAAACTGCCATTGTTAACATGTTAAGTGTATTTCTTCCCTTACTTCTTATGCAATAAAATGCCATCTATTTTAAGTTATATCTTATTTGTTAATTTAAAAAGTAATATACACATTGAAAATAATTCAAATAAATGTTTACTATTTGTAAGTACTACTTTATCACCATCTGCAGTTTGCATTATTTTCTTAATTTTTAGCATAAAAGTAAGTAATATGGAACCTAAAGTTTTACAATGAAAAAACAAACAACAAAAAACTCCCACTTGGGGGGCGGGGGGAGACAATGGGGGGGATAAGGACACATATGTAATACCTTAGTCAATAAAGAAAAAAAATAAAAACTTAAAAAAAAAACCTCCCACCCGTGATTCCCAATCTCCGGTCCCTCTTCTCAACAGCAAACATGTTACCAATTCATTAATCCTTCAGAGACAGTCTTTGTAAATATAAGCATAGAGGTCTGTTTATATTTTTATCTGTGTATAATGATAACATACTATACATTCTAGTCTATATTTTCTATGCACATTTTAACAGCTAAGATATTTTCACTAGTTTTGTACCCTGCTCCTTTTCACTTAACATTGTCATATTTTACTAGATTTTTAAAACTCTTCATAAATATTATTTCAATTGACTGTTACATTATATTACATCTAAGGATGTGTCATATGACCAATTTTTTAATGTTATATATTTGTTATTTTTATATTCTTATTATAAACCAGAGGCCTGGTGCATGAATTCACGCAAGGGTGGGGTCCCTTGGCTTGGCCAGCGATCGGGCCAATCGGGGCCGCAGGAGGTTGGCTGTGAGAGTGCACTGACCACCAGGGGGCAGCTCCTGCATTGAGCGTCTGCCCCTTGATGGTCAGTGCATGTCATAGCAACTGGTCGTTCAGTTGTTCGGCTGCTTAGGTTTTTATATATAGATTAAAACACAGTGACCATTTCTTTACATAAATACTTGTTCAATTTCCTGTTTATTTCCTCAGAAGCGATCTTAGAAGTGGAACTGCTGGTCAAAGAGTAACTTTGCTAAAACATAGATATGATCCATACCTCAATTTTATGTTCTTTTATTTTATCCTCTAAATAAACCTGGGAGATAAAATTGAAATGACAAAATTATTATTTCCATTTGATCAAGAAGGAAACTGAGAGCCAGATATTAGGAGGATTTGCCCAAGCCTCATAGCTACCGGCTGAGACTAGACCTAGTGCCATGCAGCAGTATTATGGGAAAGTTCAAAATCCCAGGCCAACTCCTCAGCTGAATTTCTTGGGCAAGTCAAGTGGCCTCTCTAAGCCACAGTATTTTTACCTTAAAATAAAGAAAATACCACCTATTTCACAGACCTGTGGTGCAAATATGTAAATAATCTGGCATAATTTCCTGGCCCATGTGAGGTACTCAATAAATATTATTTCACTGGCCCCTTTAATTTACCTCTGCAGTCAAATCTTGTTCAACTACCCTCTCCCTGATCTGGGCTACATTATTTGAGCTTGTTTTACAATTAACTATCTGCCTCCTCTCCTGGAATAAGCTGAGTTGTATCCATCCTTACACCTGCCAATACTGGATCTATAGTAAATCCTTAGGGCATATTATTCCTTTCAATAAACGTTTAGTGAGCATTTGCCATGTGCCAGACTATCAATGTAAATGTTATATTATTGGTCTTCATTTTTCTGATGCAGCTATTTACACTCTTAGATTCCTGGAATTAGGAGGGATTTTGGAGTGGTGGCTTTATCACAACAAAAAGCCTAGCTCCTGGTCCAGCTTTCCCAGTAACTCAATGTAAATGTATGAACTTGGGTAAGTCACTTAAACTCTGAGCTTCAGTGTCCTCATCTATGATATGATGATATTACCTACCTTGCAAGGCTGCTGTGAATTTTAAACAAGAGAATGTATGTAAGTGTGTTTCACTGTGTAGATAAAACTGCATGTGGCCTCATGTAGAATCAGCCTTTATTAGCTACCTCTGCCACAGGTGTGAGAGTGGCGAGCTAGGCAAGAGTAAAAAACAGTTTCAATTCCTGCCTGATCCACTCCCCTTCATTTTACAGGTCAAAATTTGAGGCTCCACAAAGAGAAGTGATTTGTCCGAAGTCACATAGCAAGTCATGAACAGAACTTCTGTGATCTAATGACTCCCTGATTAGAGTGGACTTAGAGGGAAAAAAAACTGCAACAATTTTAGAGGGAGTAAAGAAGCATCCCCAGCCCGGATGATGTTGCTCAGTGGTTGAGCGTCAACCTAGGAACCAGGAGGTCACAGTTCAATTCTCGGTCAGGGCACATGCCCAAGTTGTGGGCTCCATCCTCTGTATGGGGTATGCAGGAGGCAGCCGATCAATGATTCTCTCTCATCACTGATGTTTCTATCTCTCTCTCCCTTTCCTTTCCTCTCTGAAATCAATAAAAATATATTTTTTAAAAAAGCATCCCCAGCACCCTGAGCATCTCTATCCTAGCACTTGCCACACTGTTTATGTGCACACAGCGTAGCTTTCCCAGTAGGTAGTGTGAGATCAGGAAGAGGCAGAGGGCAGAGAGGTTCAGTTGGAAGGCACGTTCAGATGTAAGCCCCCAAAGGGATCTTTTCAAGATGGAGCTACCCAGACACTTGGAAGGAGGTAAAAAGCATCCTAGCGAGCAGCTGCCCGAGGCAGATTGAAGCAGAGAGGTCACTGCACAGGGCGCATGCAAAACCACACTTGTGAGATAAGGATCAAACACATCTTCCCTCTCTTTTGTGACAGTTACATAAATGATAGAGCCTGGTAGCTCACTGTCTCCGTGACAAGCCATATAGATGAAGGCCCAGGGACCATCTGGGAAGTCATCCCTGGTTCCTGGCTAGGCAACGAAGAAAATGGCTCCTCTAAGAGTTGGTGTGAGAAACAAATAGTGTGTTCAGTCTGATAGGCAGCAGAAATAAGCACCTAAGAAGCCAACTTCAGCCAATAAAGGGGGAGGGGAGAGGAGAGGAAAGAGAGCCCTAAAAATCCAGCAAGAGGAGATCAATTCAATACGTGCAGTGAATAGATGTACTCTCCTGATGGAAAAAGCATATGATTGAGTCAGAAGACCTGGGGTGAGCCTTTGCTCTCTCAGCAGTTGTGTAACCTTAGGCAGATCACACCCTGGGCCTCAGTTTCCTCATCTATAAAATGAGTTAATAAAATGACTCCCTGGCAAACTGTTGTAAGAATTAAAACCAGTCTATGGGCGAGTGCTTTATAAAAACTCTTAATCTTTTTTTTTTTTTTTTTTTTTTGTCTGTGTGCTTCATGTTTTCTTATCTTGGGTCATCCTGGGTAGTGGAAATAGCCTGGGGTTCCAAACCAAACAAACTAGATTCAGTTTCTGTGTCTATCATTTATTATCTGTGAGATCCTGGCAAGAAATTTCACATGACTAAGACACAGTTTCCTCATTTGTAAAAGCATTATTGGGAAGACCGTAGTGAATGTTGGAAAAGCATGTAGGTAGTATATGACCTATAAGAGGTGCTCCTATTGGGAACTTTTATCAATGAGGAATAAAGAGGGAGTTGGGCATCTGTGGGCCTCACCCTAGTATATGCAACCTCCTCCCTAAAGCCATACTCTACTAATTTTTCTAATTCAACCTTTCTTTAGGTCATTCCCCACTGACAACTCATCACCACCACCCAGCATATCTCCTCATTGTTTCCCCACAGAAACAGCTGCCATTTTTTGAGCACCTACTAAATGCCAGGTATTTTCAATACATTCTATCTTGCATAAATAGAAGCTTGGAAAATGTTCACTTCCTTCTTTCTCCAGGATGGAGACAGCCATGGGTGTGGTCACTGACAGAACGTAGGCACACTTGTATAATAACATAGTGGTCTTTCTCTTTTGTACAGTGCTTTATAGATTATGAAAGTTCTTTTCCCCCACATTATTATATATAATCTTCACAATAATTCTTGGGGGGTAGATAAGGAAATTGAGGCAGTAGTACAACCACAGCTCAATTATTCATTCAGTCAACATTCACTGAGCACGTACTATGAGCCAGGCCCTGTGCTGCACTCTGGGGAGATGAAGAGGAACCGTAAGGAGTTCAAGCTTGGATGGGAAACCTTTTTAAACATCCTATAGGTTACTGTTGCCTCCTTTCATATCATAACCCTTAAGAAAATGAGGATTTATCTCTTGGGCTAGAGATCATTTTTGAATTTAGCCTTCTCTCATACTGTTTCCTCTGATAGGAACATACTTTATTCTACTACAGTCTAAATCCTTCATGACGAAAGTCATCCCTAACCCATCATCCTCTAACAAAATGTCTCTCCTCCGGCTAACACAGCACCAGGGCTTCTATTACCACAGACAGGGCTTTTCAGGGACTTCCATTGTTTTCTACCCTTTATAGGCACAGAACAGGTGGGCATCCACCTGTACACACACACACACACACACACACACACACACACACACACACACATCTAATTTCATTCACTATCCCCCACCCTTTTCCATCTGGATTCTGAGAAATTGGGATGGAGGGCCCTGTCTTCCTCCCATCTCCCTCCACATTTCTAGTAGCTTCCAGAGGCTGCTGCCCTGCTCTCCTTCAAGTCTCTTCTCACACCTGGACTCCAAAATAGTCAGCCTGTGGATGAATTTTCCTGTCCATGGTTCTCTTCGTCTTGTCGCTGATCACAGGTGGCCGTGTCATGGGGTCCAGTGTCTGGGTCCACTTCGCAGCCTTCTGAGGAGCTAAGACACTGCTACAGCCTGGGTTCCCATGGACTCCACTCTGGTCCCCCATCACCTTCGCACTCTCATACCTCCTCCCCAGCCTGACCCAGCGCACCCACCACCCGAAACTCTCCAAGTTCCCTGACAGCTCCTCCACTCAGCCACCATTTGCCGGCTCTATTGCAGTGCATCTCCACCCTTCACCTCTGACCGGAACTCAGGTGCCCACTCCCCAAATCCAAGGCCCCTACCCTCTCTCTCCATCAGCTCCCCACCCTTTCCTCTGCAGGCTGGCCGGTGGGGTAGAACAGCCCGAGGTCCCACCTCCCCATTCTTCCAGGCTTCCCACCCCCAAGCCCAACCTTCGCCCCCACTCAGGTTACCCGCCTTGCCGGTACCCAGCTGGGCACGGCTCCCAGCTCTCCGCCCTCAAATCTCCTGTCCCCGACCAGCAGCCCTGGCCCTACCCAGAGCCCCCTCCCCTCATCACCTCTCTCCTCTCCAGCTCGAAACGACCCCCGCTGGCCAGGTCCCTCCCTTAGCTGGCCACCTCCACGCCCCCCCCCCACCACCACCACCGCCCCTCTGCTGCTTGGTACCCTCAGCTCGCACTGCCCCCGCCCCAAGCTCTCCCTCCTCGCATCTCCCCGCCCCCAACACCCTCCGTTTCCCCCTCACTGCGCTCCAGCGGCCGTTCACCATTTCCCCCAGCCCCTGCGCCCCCTTGCTTGCTCCTGCACCCCCCCGCCATCGGGGCTCCCCTGGCCCTCACGGTCCGGGTAGACCCTCTCTCAGCGCCCCCTCCTTAGGCTACACGCCCCTTCACTGCGGCGGTGCCCCTTCCTTAGGGGTGCCCCTTCCTTAGGGCCACCCCCACCCCCTTCTCCTCGGGGTTCCCTCCGCTACCCAGAGCTGCTTCTCAGCGCCCCGCGTCCAGGAGCGGTCCTCCCGGGTGGGGCACCGTGGCCGCGCCCCTTACCTGGGACTCCGGGTGCGGGAGAGCAGTTTGCTCCCCAAAAGCTCAGCGGGACGGCCGACTCGGCAGCGGGCAGCGGAGGGCGCAGCGGGGTGGCGGAGCCGGGCGCTGCAGGTCCGAGCGGGTCTGGTCAGGTCCTCACACCCGGACTTGGGGCTGAGGCTCCGGCTGCAGCTACGGCCCCGTCCAGGCCCCACCCATGTCCCGCCCAGGGGCGGGGTTCGTTTTAGCCCCGCCCCATCTCTGTTGCCCACAGGTGTCCATGTATCTTGGGGGCCCTGAGCTCCCTAATATCAGGGTGAAAATTGTGATTCATCTTTTTTAATTTATTGATTAGGGAGAGGGAGAGGGAGGATGAGAGAGAAACACCGGTTTGTTGTTCCACTCGTTTATGCTCCATTGGTTGCTTCTTGTGTGTGCCGGGACCCACAACCTTGGCGTGTAGGGAGATGCTCCAACCAACTGAGTGACCCGGCCAGGGCTCTGTGTGATTTATCTTAATCCTCACGCCTCGTTCCACAGACTGAACTTTCTAGGTGATCAGAGAGCTTTGATGAGAAAGTAGATGATGGTGGGTGCCGAGATTTGCCATTTCCAAAGCACTTTCCTGTCCCTCACATCACTTCATCCTCACAGAAGCCTAGGGAGAGATGCGAAATCTGAACTGCTGACTACAAGAGGAAACTAAGCCAGATACCTTGGCATTGTCCTCGACCCTATGCCCTACATCCCATCAGTCTGTAATAATACCTCCTTAACATATCCTACCGATCCCTTCCCTTTCTCTCCGTCTCCACTGCTCTCTCTCTGGTTCAGGCCTCCTCGCTTCTTGCCTGGACTAGTGCAACCGCTTCCTAATGGGTTTCCCTGCTTCCACTCTGCACCAGCAGCCTGAATGATCATTCTAAATGTCACCATATTGCCATCAACCTTGTTAGACAAAACTCAAAAACAACAAAAAACCCTCCAGGGGCTCCCCATCACCAGCAGCGGCCTAGAGTGAGAAGGCGTTCTGGCCTGGTCATCAGGAAGTCCCAACTCCACTAGAGAAGGCGAGTATATGAGGTAATTAGCACCGTACCCTCCCACCCTGACCTGAACTTCAAGTCTTCCTGAAGTCATGGAAGCGAGCTGCCGGCTTTGGTTTAGAATCATTGTCCTTTCCCACACTCTTCCCCATCTCAAATCTTAGAGGTCAGATACCAGAACCATTTCCCCCTCAGGTTCCATTATGACCCTATCTACAATTTGTCTCTCCAATTTGGGAACCACCCAATTGAAAGCCCCTCTCTGATCTACTTTTCTGTCAGACTCATTCTTATACTGTCCTGAGCTTCTCTCCCCAACTTCCACTCACCTTCCCACTGTCCATCTCCTGGCAGCCCTTTCTACTGTGACCCCTAGAATCCTGTCCCTTTGTCAACAAACTCCTACACTCTCTACGTCCTCAGAGAATAGTCAGATTAGTTTTTTGCCTTTATTGAAGTTTGACCCTCCTCCAAGACTTCTCTTGTAGCCCTCTACAAGAAGGCTTCTCACCTTTCCACTCCCCTCCCATCATAGGACCAGGGGGCAGGGGCAGCACTGCCACTTCCATGCTTGTACATGCTTGGGGGGTAGATAAGGAAATTGAGGCAGTAGTACAACCACAGCTCAATTATTCCTTCTCCTTGGCGCTCCAGCCGTATTACCTTCTACCCTTCCTCATCACTGACCCCCAATTGCTTCCTATGCATTGACGATTTCAGCTCCTGGCTCCTGGTCATCCTCATTAGCCCCTGTCCTGCCATCCTCCTGGTGACTTCAGTAGCCATGTGGCTTCCTGATCCCTCAGTCCTTGGTCTCCTCTTCACATCACCTCAGCCACTGGCTCCCATGGCCACACTCTGATCTCTACAATCACCCAGAACTAGTGTCTCTGTGATCTTAAGAACAAATATTGTATGCTGCCTGCTCTCTCACTCCCTTTCTCCCACAAAGCCCTAGTTTCCTCATTTCAAAATGGGTGTGATGATAATGATTATTCATTCTTCACAGGCATAATGAGCCAACATATAAAACCATCCTCTTACAGTTGCAAAACAATATGAGAACAGATGGTGTTGTGTTTATGTAGCCTCGGGTCTTCTGATTACTTTCTCCTTCTCCTTCCCCTGAAAGGCCATCTAGTGAAATGGAAAGAGCACAGACTTGCAACCAGACAGCTTTGGTTCCACCACTTACTTGCTGTGTGATCTTATGTAAATCACCTACTTTTTCTGACACAGGCACCTCATTCTCATTTGTAGAAATAGCAATAGTGAGAGCTAGCTCCCAGGGTCATTCACAATGAAGATCAAGTAAGAAAATGAGATAGTGACTGGCAAGCACTTGACAAAGTGCCAGGGACATAATAAACACTCAGTAAATTGGAAACACTTTGATTATTACAACAGAAAAACTGCTATTTCTAACCAGAATTCCCTTCTTTTTTTTTTTTTTTTTTTTTTTAGTAAATCTTTATTGTTCAGATTATTACATTTGTTCCTCTTTTTTCCCCCCCATAGCTCCCCTCCACCCAGTTCCCACCCCACCCTCTGCCCTTACCCCCCCACTGCCCTCATCCCTAGGTGCACAATTTTTGTCCAGTCTCTTCCCGCATCTCCCACACCCCTTTCCCCACCAAGAATAGTGAGTCCATTCCCTTTCTATGTCCCTGATTCTATTATAATCACCAGTTCATTCTGTTCATCAGATTATTTATTCACTTGATTTTTAGATTCACTTGTTGATAGATGCATATTTGTTGTTCATAATTAGTATCTTTACCTTTTTCTTCTTCTTCCTCTTCTTAAAGGATACCTTTCAGCATTTTATATAATACTGGTTTAGTGGTGATGAACTCCTTTAGCTTTTCCTTATCTGTGAAGCTCTTTATCTGACCTTCACTTCTGAATGATAGCTTTGCTGGATAAAGTAATCTTGGTTGTAGGTTCTTGGCATTCATCACTTTGAATATTTCTTGCCACTCCCTTCTGGCCTGCAAAGTTTCTGTTGAGAAATCAGCTGACAGTCGTATGGGTATTCCCTTGTAGGTAACTGAGTTTCTTTCTCTTGCTGCTTTTAAGATTCTCTCTTTGTCTTTTGCTCTTGGCATTTTAATTATGATGTGTCTTGGTGTGGTCCTCTTTGGATTCCTTTTGTTTGGGGTTCTCTGCGCTTCCTGGACTTGTAAGTCTATTTCTTTCACCAGGTAGGGGAAGTTTTCTGTCATTATTTCTTCAAATAGGTTTTCAATATCTTGGTCTCTCTCATCTTCTGGCACCCCTATAACTCTGATGTTGGTACGCTTGAAGCTGTCCCAGAGGCTCCTTACACTATCTTTGTATTTTCGGACTCTTTTTTCATTTTGCTTTTCCGGTTGGGTGTTTTTTGCTTCTTCGCATTTCAAATCTTTGCCTTGATTCTTGCACTCCTCTGGTCTGCTGTTGGGAGTCTGTATAATATTCGTTATTTCAGTCCGTGTATGCTTAATTTCTACTTGGTTCTTTATCACAACATCGAGGGTCTCATTAGATTTCTTGAGGATCTCAATAACTTTATCGGCGGCTTCTAGACAGTTCTTGAGAGACCTTAAAAGTGTGGTTCTGAACTCAATATCCTCCATTGACAATTTTGTCCTGTTTCTTTGTCTCCGCATTTTTTATGCTTTCTTGGTGCACCCCCTAGTGGTCTTTGTGCGCAGTCTTGTTGTAGTTAAGCCTTGATTGCTGTAGTTAATACTAGGGGGATTTGACCTCCAGGCCAACTGGCTATGAGAATCAGCTGTGTCTGCAGTGGGAAAACTTCTGTCCTCTAGGGAGGTGCTAATCTAGCCTTTGCCTGAAGCTATCTGGCAAATGGCTCTGGGCAGGGCTTGGGCGGGGCGGGTCTCACAGGATCAACAGGGCGGGTGGAGGAAGCAGTTATGGCTGCTCTCAGTCCTGTCCCCAGAGGCTCTGCCTCTCAGAGTCCCAGCAACCGCTGCAAACCTTGGAGAGAAAGCTGCCCTCGAGTTCCAACCGATGCCAGTCCCGCTTCTCCCGTTTGAGTCTGGGTCCCTAGAGACTCGCCCAGAACTGGAGCTCAGGGCCTGAGCCTCCTTCCCGATTGAAAACGACAACCGCGCCCTCAGCTACCAGCCCGCTCCGTGCGTACCTCCACACCTTTGTATTTTCCGCACTGCGCCTCCTCTGAGTCTCGTATGCTGTTCTCTTTCCTTCTAGTTGAAGAATTTCCCCTCAGCCAGTCTTCCTGTGGTTCTGGGCGATGTCCGTTCCGTCTTTTAGTTGTATTTGTGAAGTGGTTGTTCGAGGCAGCTAACTCCGGTGTTTACCTATGCCGCCATCTTGGTTTTTCTCCCCACAATTCCCTTCTAAGAAGGATACACCCTAACGCACAGAAGGCCCTTCATCTTACTTCGGGTCCTGAGGAGTGTGAATATGTTAAGCGTAGGAAGAGAAAGCAGGAACACTAAATTGCTCTGTGTTTAAAAAAAAAAAAAAAAAAAGGAGGACAATTTGAAGTTCACTCAGCAAAATGGGAAGGAGAGGTAATAAAGAGAGCCTTCACAATGGGAGATGGACTGGAGTTTTCAATATACAGGGGACAGGGAGACCAAAGAGAAGGCTGATCCAGTGAGGTCAAGAGATCATGAGCCCTAACTGGTTTGGCTCAGTAGATAGAGCATCAGCCCATGGATCAAAGAGTCCCGGGTTTGATTCCAGTCAAGGGTACCTACCTTGGTTGCAGACTCTTGGTTGCAGGCTCCTCCTGACCCAGGCCTGGTCAGGGCTTGTAAGGAGGCAGCCAATCAATGTGTTTCTGTCTTTCCCTCTCTTTTCCACTCTCCCTAAAAATCAATGGAAAGATATCCTCGGGTAAGAATTAACAACAACAAAAGAAATCATGAGATCTGAGCTGGGAAATGCAGTGGGGCGTTAAAGAATGAAAAGGACAAGATTTGGTGACTGATTAGCTCTACATTGGGGAGAAAAGAAATTGTGGCAACTAGGAGAGCACTCTGACTTGGGTGGTACCATTCCCTATGAAAAAGGGAACAGAAGACAGCCCTGGGGGTCCAGAAGGTTACAAGAAGTCTACTTGTCTATTTAGCTTTCTCATAGGGCTTGGTAAGGGAAGTAAATAAGTCGCGCGCACACCCCC